ACCTTTTGTCATGTGTTTGGGACACTTCTTACAAATGCATGCTTGATTATAAAGATATAATTCTACACCGGTCCTTTAAAATATCTGAGCTTGCACATGTGTGCTTATGGAATGTTGTTCAAGTGATGAACCTTAATGCAGTGGGTATACTGTGTTTGGGGTTGGTTGGCCAGGCAAAGCACAAGCGCTTCTGTTCAACACAGGCCCCTGGTGATGGTATACTTCTGAGATGTAAGGCAAGTGAGCTTGTCATACCCCATCATGTAGTAGTAAAACCATGTTATGTGTAATTTTAGCAGTATTGGAAGCTCTTTGTCTGATTTTGTATTTGTGGTAAATTTTAGGATTTATCTCAAAATAAAAATTTCCAACTCTGCTTCTTTCAATTTCCTACATCAGTTTAATTTGGGAGTGTGCTGAGATGACCAGGAAGTCTATTAAAAATGCAAACATGTCTTTGATCGGGACTTTTCTCTATGCCGAACCACCAAAACGAAATACAGAAATTGGATATTGAGGCTATATCAGAATAAAGCTGTACCTTTTAAATGTTAATCATAACATTAGCAAACAAGAAAAGGCTCATTGTTCTTATTGTTTGGTAATATCATTTTCAATGTGTTTTATATAGGATTCCTAATAGGTTTTCAATTTCATTTGCAAAATAGGTTCTGTTGCTAAATCATGTTTGAGAACCACTGTGCCTTACCATGTTATCACTGTCCTGCTTTTGATCCTCAAATACTTCAAGATGTTTATAATTAGTTTGGGTGCAAAGTATATCTAGGAGGTCTAGCAACCTTAAAATACTGAAAGTGTTTAGAAAAAACAACCAGTTTTTTAAAAATTCTTTAAATTGTTTTCTCTCCGAATCATTTTCAAGTACAGGCTAGTATAAGATAGCTTATTTACTTTCAATTTAGTGCATTTGAATAATTAGCAGGGTTTTTCTGCTTTTAAAAGTCTTTTCTAGGAGTAACATATTGGAAAACAGTCTCTTCACTTAAACATAATTTTTATCAAGTTCCTTGTTTTGCGGGGGAGGAAATTGGGTAAAAAATAGAATGTGGTTTGGTTAATATAATTTTGTCAAACAATAATTAATGCGAGGATGATACTTGGGATGCAAAAATAAAGACCCATTCCTTGCCTTCGAACTTATAGTCTAGTCAGAAAGATGAATAGGTGAGCTGAAAATTACATTGTAATCTGATAATTGTTGAAACAGAGGAACATAATATTTTATCCTTGCTGCCTGGCCTAAGGAAAGGAGGTGATATTTGAAGGACGTCTTGGAAGCTAGTGGGTGTTTGCCAAGGTAGTGAGAGAGCACTTCCATCTGAGGAAATATGAATAGCCCTTAAAGGACTGAGAGTTGGGAAATCAGTAATATAGTTTACTGTGGCTAAGGTGTGTGTGGGGAGGAGGTGTGAGAAGAGGTTGTTGTTAACTTGGTGGAGCAACAGCAGGAGATGAATTTGTAGAGATAAGTTGGGTCTGCATTGTGAAGGACCAAGTATGCCATGTTAAAAAATGTAGACTTCTTATGTAAGCTGTGAAGAGCCACAGCTGGGAGAGACTTATGTTTTAGAAAGAAATGCTGGAAGATAGATTGGGAAAGGGAGAATTGGTTCATTCATTCAATAAACATTTATTGAGCACCTACTGTGTGAAAACAACTTAGGTTTACAGAAAACACTTGGGATACAGACAGTAAAAAAAAGGCAGAAATGTCTGCCCTAATGGAGCTTACCACTTCCAATGTAATGAGATAGATGATATACCAATAAACATAGAAAATAAATTAATCGTGCAGTATAATAGAAGGTGACAAATGCTAAGAAAGAAGAAAAAATAGAGTAAGGGAGTTTTGAGAATGCCAGGTGGAAGTGGTCACAATTTAAGTAAGGTGACAAGAAGCCCAATTTAGAGGTTGTTGCAGTAATTCAAATGAGAAAGAAGACTTGTCTTAGACTAAATGTGGGACTTTAAAATAGAGAGAAAGTATAGATTGGGAGGACCTTTGATCCTGTCTTTTTTGAACCTTTCTAGCCCATAAGTATATAAATTTATATTTATATTATAGATACAAATCTATAATGTATTGTTATGGAGTGAAGGACTTTGTAATGACCACCCTATAAGTGAAACTTTGCCAGCCACACTGGAAACCTCTCCATTTGTCCCATCCCAATCACAAACCCCTCCATTTCTGATAACATGAGATTTATGGTAATCACTTTTCTGCATTTCTTTTTTTTTTTTTTTAGCTGTTCTGTTAGATATTTTATTATTCTTAACTTTTAGTTTAAGGGGCACATGTGCAGGTTTGTTATATAGATTAATTGTTTATCATGGGGGTTTGGTGTACAGATTATTTCATCACCCAGATAGTATGTATAATACCCAGTAGGTAGTTCCATTCCTCATCCTCCTCCCACCCTCTACCCTCAAGTAGGCCCTGCTGTCTATTGTTCCCTCTTTGTGTCCTCGTGCACTCAATGTTCAGTTTCCATGTATAAGTGGGAACATGTGGGTTTTGTTTTTCTGTCCCTGCTCTTAGTTCACTTAGGATAATGGCCTCCAGCTTCATCCATGTTGCTAGACATGATCTCGTTGTTTTTTATGGCTGTGTAGTACTCCATGTTGTATATGTACCACATTTTCTTTATCCAATCTACTGTTGATGGGCATTTAGGTTGATTCCATTTCTTTGCTATTGTGAATAGTGCTGCAATGAACATAGGCATGCATGTGTCTTTATAGTAGAATGATTTATATTCCTTTGGATATATACCAGTAATTGGGATTGCTGGGTCAAATGGTAGTTCTGTTTCAAGTTCTTTGAGAAGTCTCCAGACTGCTTTCCACAATGACTGAACTAATTTACATTCCCACTAGCAGTGTGTAAACCTTCCCTTTTCTCTACAGCCTTCCTGACATGTTATTTTTTGACTTTTTAATTGTAGCCATTCTGACTGGTGTGAAATGGTATCTCATTGCAGTTTTGATTTGCATTTCTTTAGTGATTAGTGACATTGAGTATTTTTTATATTTTCTGCATTCCTTGATAATTTTATTAATCAAATATATATCTCTAGACACTGTAGTTTAGTCCTGCCTATTTTAAAAATGTCTTTGTCTTTTTTTTTTTTTTTTAAGCTATAGGTTTTCTCTCCTTCCTTTGTTTTTCCTTACAGTTTATCAGCTGAAGAACTAGGCTGTTTGACCTTAGAATTTCCCATAGCCTGGAGATTTTTCTTATTGCAAATTCATGGTATAACTCAACATGTTCCTCTGTCCTTTGTACGTCTTGTAAGTTAACAGGTGGACCCAGAGGCTTCATGATACTCAGGTGTTATCCCTTTGGCCTGACAATAGCAGTAGAGTCTTCTTTCATTGAAAACCACATAATGTCTGATTATCTCTTTTGCAATGTTAGTAGCTATTTTTGCTCAATGCCTAGAATTAGTAATTCTTTGGGGATTGCAAAGTTGTGATATTCTAATTATATCATATCTGTTTTAGTTATTAGCTAGAATACTTTTGCAAAGAGTCATTTCCCCTCATTTACTGTGTAGATATCCAGTGGTATAGTGCCAATAGGAAAGGCAGCATAAATGCCTTTTTCATTATTTACCACTGTTTAAGGTAATGAGTTAGCTCCCTTTTTTATTACTCTATCAACATTTCCAGACTTTGGAAAGGGAGCCTTGATTTGTCAGTTTTAAGAATTTATAGGTACTAGATTCCTCCAGTCTCTTCAGATATCACCTGGCTATATTTGGATTAGGCAAAACCCCTCCCTGTTTTAACTTCTGCTCTAAAGTTGGCTCATCATGTGTTCAAGTGTATGTTTGTTGACTACTGTGGGGTTCTTTTGTTTTCACTACATCAGATAGCCAATTGTTTCTTCTGCTTCTTCCTGTACAGATGTTAATACCTTACAGGTCTTGTGGCAGCTGGTTTATCCTCAGCTGCTTGTATTTCTGGGGGATAGCTTATCATCTAGTTTTGTTGTGAATATTTTCCAAGGGATTTGGCTTTGCTATCTAGTTGCTTGGTCTGTTTTTATGTGGAAATCGAGGAGGTTTTTAAAAAAAATCTCACTGCCACCAGTGCCATCTCCCAGAAAGGCATTGAATCATGGAAGAGTTAGTGTGGAATTGAGAATAAATTTGAAGTTTCTAACTTGGAAGATTTGGTAAATGGTAATTTTATTGATGAAGATTTGAAAAATGTAAGAGAAGGAACAAGACAGAGAGTGGAAGATAAGACCAAGTTTTGATTTCTTAGGTTTGAAATACTCTATTTGAGATCCTCTAATAGAAATTCCTTCTGAAGAAGTATGCTGCTAGAATTTGACAGAGCTAGGTGATGGAACATCAACACTTTGAGAGTAATCAAAGCCATTACAAGTAGGAAAAATTTTATTTTTTGGTAAAAATTACAGTGTGAAAAACCAGTAGAATAGGAAAAATGCACTTGAAGGTAAAACACTAATAATACACATTTATGAACTAGTAGTTTTATGTATTTTCTACAAATATACACAATGCATTTACATTGAAAAGCAATCCAAAGAGGAAGACACTATGCAAAGATCCATTTACATGGATGCAACTGTTTTTTCAGTCACTAGGTACAAGTGCCATATATATTTAATATAATATCAAGGCAATAAATTTATAAAATCTGAGTATTTTTCCAACTTGAGACCCTAGATAAAGATGATAAGGACTCATAATCTCCAAGTTTTTATAATTTTAGTAGACTTTAGTATACTATCACAGATCCTTTAAGAATTACTGAGAAAGTCTTCTTTCTTACAAGCTATTCTAGATAGTTCTAAGCTCTATCTTCAAGAGGATTTTTCAAATACTATACATTTTTCGACACTCCTTTTTAAACATTTCATTTGTTCTAAATATCAACTCAAATGATTTACTTTGGATGTCTTTTCCTTCCTTATCTTTCTTTATTATTATTATTATTATTAGGCCAGTCTTCAGAGACCTGAGATTAAACTTGAATCACTGAAAGAAGATATTAAGGAATTCTTTAAAATATCAGGTTTGTAATTTTTTCCTAATAACTTAAGGCAAAATAAGAAAATGTTTTATTTATTCCTAATTCTTTAAGCCCTCAAGCTTGTACAGCCACCTTACTTTGTTGTCGTCATTCTGTTTTGTTTTGTTTTAGGCTTTTAACAGCCTGAAGCCATGGTTTTTTGTTTCTGTCTCTAGTGATAAGCAGAGAAGAGGGATGAGGAAAGAGCTTTACTGGCCCAATCACAAACAGAAACTAAGAACCCATGACTGTATTCTGTGCCTTGGATACCCTTGCAAGGCAAAATAAATAATATTTTATGCCCAGCCTTCCAGTTTCTCATTCAAAATTGTGAAAACTATGGCCAAATAGGTTTCTATTTAGGGAGAATTAGAGCTATTAGACATTTTAACAAAATGGTGCAAAAATTCAAGAACTCTGTGAGAAAGACTCCTTTGCATTAGTTTGTTTTAAATACTGTTTGCCTTACTGGTAATATCCTGATGGATAAATACATCCTTAAGGTATTAAGTATCTCCTTAGTTAAATAATTTTTCATTTTACTTTTCAGTTGTGACTTTTTTCCTTTTATGCTTTCACAGAAAATAAAAAGAAAATTCTAACTTTTCAAAGAGCAAGAGGAGAGAGAGGTTCCCTAGTCCAGCATCTGCATATGGGAACTGAGATGTTAAGTGGTTGTCCTGGATAGTTAGAAGCTGAGCTAACTGGTCTGACTATTGGTAACTCACAATAATCTGCCTCTGTCGTCCAGGACTTTGCTGACAAGTTAATTATAACTAGATACTTGTCATCTATCTTCATCAGGTGGCTGTTTTTTGCTGTTCCCTTGGCACATTCCTTACAGCTTTAGTAGTACAACATCGGAAGATTTTGACATTCATTGAGCACTTTGATAGTGAAAAAGGAAATGTTCCTCCCAACTTGATAAAATGGTGCAATAATATTATTTTAAAATATCATGTTGGTGACTTTGCTGCTCAGTGTTAGCCAAGGGATATAGTAAGTATATAGGAAATAATCTTTAATAACACTTTATGTAGGGATTGGCAGTTGACAAAGTTCTTTCACAAATAAATATGATGCCAAAGTTTTGTTGAGATAAATTTAATTATGATGTATGTTTATTTAAAAACTAGTATGTTCATATATTTTATTCTTTTTTTAAAAAACAGGTTGGGAGAAGAAACTTCAGAATGCTGTTTATAGTGAACTGAGTGTGTGAGTTTTCCTACCTATTTTGCAATAGTGTTTTGTTTAGCTATATTTACTTTGTGAGTAATAAAACCAGTATTGTTATATATACTTATTGTATTATTATCATTAATATTTATACATTTCAAGTAAGTTAATACAATTAAAAATTACTACCATCTTGCCTGACAAACAATAAGAAATAGGTGCGTTTTTTTTTTAACCACCCACTATTTTATTTTTTTAATTTTCTTTCTTTTTGAGATGGAGTCTCACTGTGTCGCCCAGGCTGAAGTGCAGTGCAATGATCTTGGCTTAACTGCAACCTCCACCTCCTGGGTTCAAGTGATTCTTGTGCCTCAGCCTCCCAAGTTGCTGGGATTACAGACCCCTGCCACAACACCTGGCTAATTTTTGTATTTTTAGTAGAGATGGGGTTTCACCGTGTTGGCCAGTCTAGTCTCGAACTCCTGACCTCATGTGATCCACCTGCATCGGCCTCCCAAAGTGCTGGGATTACAGGTATGAGATACTGCGTCTGGCCCCACCCATTATTTTATATTAACAATTCATTTATCCAGTGGAATTAGGGAATAAGATGTTTCTCTAAAGTTAATATTTCAGATAACCGAAGCTTACTGACGTTCTTTTTTTGTGTCTTTATAAACTGTCCATTCTAAACCTGATTATCTTTTTTGTTCTTTGGCAAGATTGGTGTCATTATTAAGAACATCTGTGTTTTTGTTTATTTATATTTAACATCAGGGTCTATTAAGGTGTATAGAACTGTTTGCCATTTTAAAATGTAAATCCAGAATGTTAGCTTTTGTAGTTTCTTCAATGTTCTGTTACTTGTCAGTTATTTATTGAATACCTACCATGTGGTAGCACCATACTAAGCACTGAGCATATAGTGTAGAACAATAAACACAATTTCTGCCCTCATAGAGCTCATAGTCTAATAGAGTTCCCAAGTCTAATAGAGTTCCCATGTCTGCTTTTTTTTTCCTTTACTGCTATCACTGTATTTCTGTCTGTAGCCTTCTCTAGTGTTTAACACTCCCATTTTCAACTTGACTTTTCCAGTTCATTTAACTGGGAAATGACATAATGCAGCTTACCAGAATTGTTTCTAAAATGAAGAGACTCAGATGAACGCCTGTGCGCATGTGCTTTAGATACAATTTTTAAAAAAATTAGTATTTGCTTCTTTGCTTTGCTCAAATCCATCTTCCCAGTTGGATTTGAAGTCTTAAATAATGTTAGATATAAGTGCTATCTAATAATTGAAGTTGACTGTGACCACACCTTTAGTAGTACTGTGACAGTACCTTTGGCAGTCACCAAAGGAATAGACATTTATCATGACAAGTAAGGTTTTAAATTTATAATATGTACTAAAGGTGCCTGTTGTGTGTAATTCCAAACACTGGATTCTCAATCTGAGGTGATATTACTAATATTACTGAAAATTGTTCTGTGTGACAGACTGCCCTTTTACTTGATAGAAGGGACTGTGTTTTATTCATTATCATATTGTTGACATTTTGTGCAATAGAACTTTAAGTATATATTTTCTGAATAACTCGTTGGGATTTTTTTAAGGAGTCCAGTGATATTATTTTTATTCCTCACTTGGGTTCTGAACAAATTAAGAAACAAGATAAAACAAAAAAGCAGATGGGATATCAAAATTACACTTTTATTACTGATAAAGACTAGGTAGGAGAACATAGCTTAGTATGAGAGCAAAATTAGTCTTTCAACTGATCTCAAGAATTAAATAGATTTAACCTTCCAGTCAAATAGCATTGGATCAGGGGCAGTATGTTCAGTTTATGCTTTTCAAATTTAAAAGCTGAATAAGGCATAAACCTCTTCTGTGGTGTGTTGAGTTAAGCCTTAGAGAGAGTCCAAGAATGTTATAGTAATGGAACTCTTTTCACATGGAAGTGCACATCAGGGGTGGGAAAGAAACATTTCCCATAACATAAGTCAAAAGAATAAAGAAGACTTAGCGTATTCTGTTGCATTTTTCATTGGCAGCAACCATTGGATGGATGAATAAGGAAAGCAAAAAGGAAAGTATGAGTATTCATTAGGTAATATTAAACAATGGGAGATAAAAAATACACATCCTTATGCCTAATAGAGGTATAGAACACACGAGCTATATAGACTATACCTGAAAACAGTACGCTTCATTTTACTTGTTTTAGTAAGCATTACAAAGATTTTAGTCAGTTTCTTATTTGACAAATATACTAGAAAATTTTCTGTATTCTGTTATTTACATGAAATTTTCAACTAGTCTAGGTTAGCACTCTCCATTTCAGATTGCATACTTTAATTATCTTTTCCATTCATTTAAAACAGTTATATATTTGTTATTGTGTTAATAACTATTTAGTATTATATGAATGATAATTTACAGTGATTGAATGCTTATTTTGTGCCAACACTTTACATGCATTGGCTTATTCAATATAATCTTCACTACAACCCTATGAAGTAAAATTTATTATGATCACCGTTTTGCAGAAGAGAAAACTGAGGCTTAAACCATGTTTTAGTCTGTCTTGTGATACTATAACAGAATACCTGAGATTGGGTAATTTATAATGAATAGAAATTTATTGGCTCACAGTTCTGGAGGCTGGGAAGTCCAATATCAAGGTGCCGGCATGTGGTGAGAGCCTTCTTGCTGCATCATCCCATGGCAGAAGGTGAGAGGGCAAGAGGGGATTTAACCCACCGTTTTATAATGGCACCAGTCCCACCCATGTCGGTGAAGCTCATGGCCTAATCACCTCTGAAAGATCCCACCTCTGAATACTGTTACAATCGCAAATTTTAGCATGAGTTTTAGAAAGGACAAACATTCAAACCATGGCAGACCACTTAAGTAACTTGTTGAACATCATATAGCTAACAAATGGAAGTGCTAGGGCTTAACCTCCAACTATATGATTCCAAAGCCCACGCATTTTACTACGTCTCACATAGGTCTATGTCTTATCTCTTAACTGGATTTAAAATGTTCTGGAACAAAAATTGTGTCTTACATTTCTTTCATATTTCCTATAGTATCAAATAAATGACATTGAGTCAGCACATAGTTATTGAGCCACCTACTAATGCTAATACATGACAAATATTTGTTGAATTGAGGAAACAGTGCAATTATTAGTCTTAGCCTTACTATATTTAAGACAATCTTTACATGCAAAATGAAAAATAGATCAATTTATTTCTGTGTTTTAGTCTTCATTGTACTTTGTACAGAGCAGTTTATAAGAAATTAGATGACCTATTATTTTTCCCTTAAAGAACATAAAGAAGTAAATAAACCTTAAAAATCTTATTCTATATGTGCATGTTATAAAAACATATCGTATAGTTTGCTGTTATAGTAGATACATGCAAAAGTCTACCATACCTTACAGAGTTACAAGTGTCAAACAGTAGTGGGCCTAAAATGGAAGGATGTTAGATAAGGGATACCTTACACTAGACCACAAATTTGGATAAGTCTTCATACACATTCATGGCTTTCACTGGGGGAGTGCTCAAGCAGTAGACCTGGGTACCTCTGAAACGTCCTAAACATACAGTTCTTCTTTGCCCTCTTAGTTTGAAATGCTACTGTATGTTTGCTATTGTGCACAGAGCCAGGTGCTGTTGATAATAAACAGGCTAGACAGTCTTTGTCTCCCAGAACTTACATCTCAGTTGGGCATAAAGACTTTAAAGAGGCATTTACAGTGCAGTAAAATAAGTGCAATGATTGGGGAAATACAAGGAACACATAAGGCTGGCATTTAACTTAGATTTGGGGTTGCCATGGTGGCTTGCCAAAGGAAGCAATATCCACGCTGAGATCAGAAAACTAAGCTAGAGTTTGTCAGGGGAAAGAGTAGAGAAGAAAAGCACTTCAGGCAGAAGGGAATAGCAGGCTAAGAGATTTAGAAGTGGAAAAGAGTGTGGTGCAAATGTTTAAAAGTTTGTATGGTTGGGTGGTAGCAGGTGAAGGGAGCATGGCTAAGGACGAGTCTAGATTTATAAAAAGGGTTGTGCCTCTTCAGACTTTGTAGACTGGATCCTAAAAGCATTTGGGTGCCATTTAAAATTGTAAGTAAAGTAGTAATATGATCAAATTTGCATTTTATCCATTCAACAATATATTGGTTATCTACTATGTACCAGGCATTACGCTAGATGCTGGAATTACAATTACTGGTGAATAAGGAAGACATCACTTCTGGCCAACATCCAGGCAAACTGGTGAATAGATTGAAAATAGTCTGGAAGCACTTAGGAACCTGCTGGATAAATGTAGGCGAGGAATAATGGTTGCCTAAAATAGTTTACTGTCAGTGGGTAGAACATTTAAGTATTTAGGGAGACTTGGGGGACAAGAAAAAAATAGAGTGAAGTGTGCTGTATAAGTTTCTGCGCATTTTTCCTATCTGGCAATCCTTATCTCTGCATATTACTAAATGTAAGCTCCATAAGGGCAGATATTTTAGCCAGTTTTGTTCACTTCTGTCTCTTTTTTACATTGAGTAGGTTGTCATTAAATGTTTCTGAAAAAATAAATATCTAACTTGATTTTGGTCTTAATAAGAATGACTTTCAAGTTGTCTCCTCTTGTTATCTGTATTTTGGATACATTTCTTTGATCATTAAATACACTATTAAGATCATTAGTAAATTCTCTCAAATTTTAATCCTAAATTTCTAAGCTTTATTAAATTTAGACATAATTACCATTAAAAGTGGAAGCAAATGGTGTATTGGACAATGTGAGACAGTTTTTAAGCTATCTTACATATAACACAAGAAATATCAAGGTATCTAGAGACTTAACTTTTTTTTCATTTGTGAATGGGAAGGTACCTGAAATGTAGATTTTATTGGAAAAATAATTTGCCAGAAACAATCAATTTGTGAAACTGCCTTATAGATTAGGTGGGATAGGTTGCCTTTCCCTATTCCAGCAATGTTTCTATGCACAGTTTAGCCTTTTACATGTAGGCTCCAGGACAGATGCAAGTGGTTTCAAATATTATTAACCTTTTACATGCTTTTGTTCCACTTTGGACCAGGAATTTCTTGAGAATTCAGCTCTGCGGTTCTTGATTATTGGAACATGACTGTTTTGCTGTAGGTACAAGTCTGATGACTAATTTCAAGAGGAGTTATATATCGTTGTGAAATGGATTGGAATCTCCAAATAAACGTTGAACCATCATGTCTTCCTACTGCCTTTTCTATCTGTGATTTCATACCACTCTGCACTTCAGTCATTATGTTCCAGTGATCCCGACTTTTTCTGATCCTTAAACATTTCATGCATTACCTCCTCAGAATTCTTGCGCTTGCCATCCCTCTGCTTGGAATATTCTTCCCCCAGATCTTTGCATGGTTGGCTCCTTCACACTCATGTCTTGGTTTAAATATAAAATCCCCTAAGGGGACTTCACTGACCTCCAAATTTATTGTATCTTATTACCCTGCTTTCATTTTCTCATGGCACTTATTACAATCTGATATTATTTTATTTGTATGTGTTTGTAATTATTGGCTTTCTTCATGAGAATGTTACGTCCATGAGAACAGAGAATGTTATCTCAATCACCACCTTATACTTAGTACCTAGAGCGGCCCAAGTATTTGTTGACTAAATCAACCTATTTTCTTAATAAAAACAATACATTTTGAATATAAAATGAAATGTTACTGGGAAAACAGTTTATAACATGGACTACAGAGGTAAGTAATATTTAACCAAGAGAGTAATGTGTGATATTTAGCTGCCTCTTTTTGCTCCTAGGTTTCCTTTACCTAGTCATCCTGCTGCACCTCCTGAACATCTTAAAGAACCTTTGGTATACATGAGGAAAGCACAGGTTGGTTTTTCATGCCAAGTTATGTAATACAGAGCCAAAGATCATTCTTGATGTCAGGAGTATGTATTATTAGTTATGAAATACTGAGTAAGAACCACTAAATTGATGTTAATGGTATTTGTATATTCTTCCATTTTATTTTCAGTAACCAAGGATCATACCTATTTAACTATGGCAACCCTGGAAAAAATGGGGTAGAAGGGGAAAAATAATCTACCATACTGTCCTGCAATTTAAAATATGATACAAGTGTAATGTGGCAATCATGGCCTGTGATATTAAAGGAATGAAATGTGAATGAACTGATACCCTCTTTCCTTAAAATTTAGGTCTTTGAAGCCAGTGTTATTGATAGTGTATTTAAAATATATTTGTTCTCACAGTAGGCGGTCATCTATTAATTATATGCTGTTATAGAACTCTGATAAACCTGCTATCAAAATGGGTTGGCAAAAAACTAGGAATAAAATAACAAAATAATTTAAGCATAAAAACTATGAATAGTTGTTAAAATGGAAACTCAAGAGGTTCTAGCACATGCCCCTAGCTTTTTTAGCTGTCCTTCATCTCAGCACAGCCTCACTCACCTCCCCTCAACCCAGTCCTGTCCGTAAGCCTTCCTCACAGTGCTGTTTGAGTAGGACTCTGTGACTGCCACTGCCGAGACACGTAATGAGCACCACAGTCAGTCAAACTTCATTCTCCAGCATAGCCTCAGAGATGGATTTTTAAAACCTTTTTTGGTATGAAATATTTCAAAGGTACCTTAAAGAACTCCCACGAACCCATCACTCAACTTCCACAGTTATCATCATGGTTCTTCTGCTCTTGAAAATTTTCTGCAGAGTCATCACATTCTACAACAGTGGAAATTAGGCAGATTTTTATTTTTCAACTTTTATTTTTATTTAAAAAAATCATCAAAATTAGATGGTGAAAAGAAGCAATAGAAATAAAAACCTTGGAGATAGTTGAGGAAGTATATATTTCTGTCTCTAGGTGGTATCTTTTACGGCTGGAAATCAGTTAATGTTTATTCATCAATTTGTCATAAAGCATAATTCATACATACGTGAAAGAAGTGTGTGTTTTTTTTGTTATAAAGATTTAAACTCAAGAAAATAAAACTAAGATTGGGCCTGAATATTTTTTAGTGAAATTGAAAATTTCTAAACAGTAACGAGAAAGTATCAGTTTTAACATACTAGGTGTAAGAAACAAAACATAAAGATTTTTTTTTTTTTTAATCATGACTGAAAAGAAGAGATAGAGAGAGGTAAATAAAAGTGCACTCCCAGAGCTTACTGCTAGTTGTTAAGAATAGATGTGAGTGATAGGTACATGTATGGTACTCCTCTCTTCTCTTTCCGGACTTTCCCACCGACATCAGGGATCTGCAAGCTACAGCCCCTGGGCCAAATACAACCTGCCATCTATTTTTATAGGGCTGGCAAACAAGGAATTTTATTTTTACTTTTTACATTTTTAAGTGGTTGAAAAATCAAAATAAAGATAATCTTGTGACACATGAAAACTATATGAATCCCTAAGATATGTTTTATTGGAAAATAGTCATGTTCATTCATTTGCATATTGGTTGTTGCTGCTTAGTTGCAACAGAGACCCATGGACTGCAAAGCCTAAAATATTTACTGTCTTCCCTTTCATACAAGGTTTGCCAATCCCTGCACTAAATTATTCATTCTTCAAGAGCAGGGATTGTGCTTTTTATCCTCAGCATCTAGCATAGTACCCAGCCCACAGAACACTTTTGATGAGGTTTGCTGTCTTTAACTATGGCCATACTGATTACCTCCCCTATCAGTAAGTGTCTACCTGTCTTTCTATATTTGTTCTTTTTGAGACATTTAGTTGTTTAGCCCCCTATTTTGGGGAGCAATTCTCTCTTCTTTCCATGAAAGCTACCTAGTCTGGATCACATGTCATGTATTGCATCATGTTCTTCCTTGCATTTCATAATCTCTTCCCCATCAGACTTCTGTTCTGTCTGCCATTCTACTCCTTAGTCTAAGGCCACTTTTACTGTTTACTTTCTCTCTTCTCCCAAACTTTTGACCACTTCAAGAGAAAATCATGTAATTTCTGTGTTAACCATTATCTAGTCTCAATTCATTTATTTAACTTCCAGTGGATTCTTTTGCTGTCTAAGGTTATATTTGTTATTCATTGTCTTCCATTTAGGTTGTTCTAAAACTTTTCCATGCTTGTGTGGCCCCTAATTCAACCTCTGTCTCACTCATTTTAAACATTTCTCACTTATATTTTATAAAGAATATTCAGGTTATCTCATTCAAGCTTCACAGCTTCCTTCTTTTTTGTTGCCACATCTCTTTTTGCTCCAGTCCTCTAAGATCAACTGTCTGCTGCACATTTTTTTTCTGTGAGATAAAACTTAGCATGTCTAAAACGTTTATGTTCTTTTAAAAATGACCATCTCTTCCTCAGCTTCCTATTTTTGTTACTAGTGATCAAATGCTAAATATTATTTCTTCCCATAGTCTTACAATCTCCTCTTTCTGTTCATTACCAAGGCTGTTACCATAGTAGTCACAATAATGATGATGATGGTGATAATGCTGATAATGTTGCCTTTTATTGTTTACTTTATTTTAGACATTGTGCTTTAATTCACATACTTATCTTATTTTTATACCTCCCAACTTTCAATCAATCTCTCCCAATCTCCTTATGTATTCTCAATACTATTAAATTTAATTATAAGCAGACGAACCCTTATAGCTCACTGCCTTTTAACAAACCTTCAGTGATTATTCCCAGTTGCTCAAAAAATGAAGTTCCTATTCCAGAACCCAGCATTTAAGAATTTTTACTGTCTGTCCCCAGCCTTCCCCTTCTACTTTGTCAGTCTCTGCTGTCTTATGACTGTCCTATGTGCCTGTCCAAGTGAATCATTTTGCCTTTCCCTCTTGCATCATTAACACTTTTTTGTATTTTGTTTTCCTGTCCTGGAAAGCCCTTTCTGCCTGTTTTGTGTTATGAAAATCCTATCTATTTTGTGAGGGTCAGCTCAGATGACATCTCTTCTCTGATGTTATTATTGATTACTCCTGTTGAAAGGGATCGCTCTCTTGAACTCTGTTAAATAGCTCCCTGTTGTTTTATAGCCCTTAGCACAAATTGCAATTTATTGTAGTAATTTCTTTTTTTTATTTTTTGAGACTGAGTCTTGCTTTATCGCTCAGGCTGGAGTGCAGTGGTATGATCTCAGGCCTTGTAGTATATTTGAAGTCAGGGTAGCGTGATGCCTCCAGCTTTGTTCTTTTTGACTTTAGGATTGCCTTGGCAATGTGAGCTCTTTTTTGGTTCCATATGAACTTTAAAGCAGTTTTTTTCCAATTTCTGTTGAAGAAACTCATGGTACGCTGATGGGGGATGGCATTGAATCTTATAAATTACCTCGGGCAGTATCGGCCATTTCATGTATTATTGATTCTTCTCCTATACCATGAGCGATGGTTTATGTTTCTTCCAATTTGGTTTATTGTCCTCTTTGTTATTCACTGAGCAGTGGTTGTAGTTCTCCTTGAAGAGGTCCTTTACATCCCTTGTAACGTTGGATTCCTTAGGTTTTTTATCTCTTTGGAAGCAATTTGTGAATGGAGGTTTTCATTCATGATTTGGCTCTCATGTTTGTCTGGTTACTGGTGTATAGAATGCTAGCAGGGCTCTTGAAATTGAGGCAGATTAATTTAATGCCTACCAACCAAAAAAAGTCGCAGCGACCAAATGGATTCACAGCTGGAATTTTCCAGAGGTACAGGAGAGAGCTGGGTTTACCATTGCCTTCTGAAACTATTCCAATCAATAGAAAAGAGGGAATCCTCCCTAAACTCATTTTATGGAGGCAACATCATCCAGATACCAAAAGCCCTTGGCCAGAAGACATGACAAAAAGCAGCAGAAGTTTTAGACCAGATATGCCCTGATGACATCGATGCAAAAATCCTCAATAAGTATACATGGCAAATGATCCAGCATCACATCAAAAAGCTATCCACCATTGATCAAGTGGAGCTTTCATCCCTGGGGATGCAAGGCTGGTTCAACATACGCAAATCATAAACGTATTCCAGCATATACACAAAAACCAAAGGACAAAAACCACATGATTATCTCATTAGATGCAGAAAGGCTTTGAGCAAAATTCAACAGTTTCCTTCATGCTAAAAACTTCTCAATAAATTCGGTATTGATGGAAACGTGTCTCAAGAATAGTAGAAGCTATTTTATGACAATCACACAGCCATAGTCCGATACTGAATGGGCAAAAACTGGAACATTTCCTTTGAAAACTGGCACAAGACAGGGATGCCCTCTTCTACACCACTCCTATTAACATAGTGTTGGAAGTTTCGGGGCTAGGTGCAATCAGGCAAGATAAAGAAAATCAGGATTCAGTTAGGAAAAGAAGTCAAATCTGTTCCAGGCTGTTTGCAAAGATGACATGATTGTATTATTAGGAAAACCCCATTCATCTCAGCCCCAACTTCTCCTTAAAGCTGATAAGCAACGTCAGGCAAAGT